AGCACCTGCCCATGGGGTTGGCACCGTCTGCCCACTGACCCCACAGCCCTTGCCGGGCTGTCCCCTTGTCTGGTGACCCCGTTTCGGCTGGGGGGTCCCAGTAGCAGGACGGTGTCCCCTGGGGCACCCCGATCCCTGTGCCCCAGGCTGGAGGTGACGCCTCTGGCTCTGCTGGCACTGCCGGCAGCGCCTGAATTTGCTGAGTGTGTCCGAGCTGGTCTAGACAAGGGCTTACGGGGGGGTGGGAGAAGGGGACCCCTGTGACCCCGCTCTGGTGGGCACAGCCACTTGTTCCACTGGCCACTATTGCCAGCTGGTGGGTGAATTCCCAAGGAATCGTGTTCTCCTCCCTCCCCAGGCTGTGCCTGTTGGTGGGACGCCAGGCTGGGGGGATGTCCTGGGATGATCTGGGGAGCCCTGGGGGCTCTTCTCTCCCTTCTCACCCCATCCTTTTTGTCACAGATTGATGAGATGCCAGAAGCTGCAGTAAAATCCTCCTCCAATAAATACCAAGTCTTCTTTTTCGGGACCCACGAAACGTGAGTGGGAGCCGGGGCCCAGGGGGTGCTGACGGGGTGGGCGACCCCGGGGCTTTGGGAGAGCCCCCCCCTCACTGCTTTTACCCCCTGGCACAGGGCATTCCTGGGGCCCAAAGACCTTTTCCCCTATGAGGAGTGCAAGGAGAAGTTCGGGAAACCCAACAAGCGGAAAGGGTTCAGCGAAGGTTTGTGGGAGATCGAGAACAACCCCACGGTCAAAGCCTCCGGCTACCAGGTGGGTCACGAGCTGGAGGGTCCCAGCACCTCCTTCCCCCCCCAGTCCCTTTCCTGTGTCCCCTCTGTGAACCCCCGGTGTCTCCCCAGCCCACCCAGAAGAAGAGCTGCCCCGAGGCGGCCGAGCGGGAGCCGGATGGGGATGGGGAGAAGAAGGGCAACGCCGAGGGCAGCAGCGACGAGGAGGGGAAGCTGGTGATCGACGAGCAGTCCAAGGACAAGAACGAGAAAGCTGGGATCAAGAGGAAAGCGGAAGATGCTTTGGAGGTAGCAGGGGGGGACACTGGGGACAACGGGGACCTGGGCGAGGGGGGCTGGGCTGAGCCGAGCTCTCCCCCCACCCAGGACTCCCCCAAACGCCCCAAGGATGCGGAGGGGCAGGAAGGGGAGAAGAAGGTGGACAACGAAGAGGCCCCCAAGGAGGAGCCCAAAGCCAACCCGGGCGAAGGGGAGAAGAACAGCGACGCCGCCGACGCGCCGGACGCCAACGAAGCCAAGCAGGAGGGCAAGGTGGAGGTCAGAGACCACAAGGAGAGGTGAGGGTGGTGTGGTGATCCCTGTGCCCCACAGCCGGGCTCCTCCTGCCTGCCCTGGGCCTGGGGGGACAGCCCGGCACTGTGGGGTGTGACAGCGTGCCCGGGTCTGTTCTTGGCCCCCACAGCCTGTAGCAGCTTCCCCAGAGAGCTGATCCTACCCCGCTGGCTCCCGGGTGCTGCCCCGGCGTCGCCCTCGCCGGCTCGTCGTGTCCGGAGCTCCTGGACGGCAGAAACCGACCCCAAAAATGAAATTTCAAAAGGAAAAAAAAGAAAAAAAAAACAAACAAACCACACAAAAAGGAAAAAAAAAAGAGAGAGAGAGAGAGGGAGGAATGCAGAGCAGCCCGGTACCGACCCCGAGTGCCCGCCCTGCCGTGGGTGCAACGCTTTGTATTAGTGATTCCTCGGGGCTGAGCAGTTGATTTGAAATAAAAGCGATTCTTGCCTTTTTAAAGCGCTTTCCGGGCCCTGGGTCGGCCACTGCCCACCCCCTTGGGTGGTTTTGGGGACCCTTTGGGCTGCCCAGAGGGGCTCTGGCAGCTCTGGGGTGTGGGGCTGGAGCACATGGATCTGGGGCTGCTCTTGGGAGAGAGCAGGGGCTGGGACTTGGGACTGGGAAAGGGAAAGAGCCAGGGGAGGTTTCAGAGGGGAGATGTTTAATAAAATAGAAACCATGGAGTCCTGGAATATTCCAAGCTGGAAGGGACCCACAAGGATCATTGAGTCCTGGCCCTGCACAGGACACCCCAAAATCCTCCCAAATCCCAAAATCCCAATGTCCAAGCACTCCTTGACCTCTAGAATAATGGAACATCCTGAGTTGGAAGGGACCCATCAGGATCATCTAACTCCTGGCCCTGCTCAGGACACCCCAAAATCTCCCCAATCCCAAAATCCTGACATCCAAGCACTCCTTGACCTCTGGAGTAATGGAATATCCTGAGTTGGAAGGGACCCATCGGGATCATCGAGTCCAACCCCTGGCCCTGCACAGGACACTGAAAATCCCACCATGTGCCTGAGAGTGTTGTCCAAACATTCCTTGAGCTCTGGCAGGCTCAGGGCCATGACCACTGCCCTGTTCCACGTACACAACCCTGTGGGGAGAGGCCAGACCGGGGGGGAGGATTTGGCCGTGCCCGGATCCCCACGCAGGGGACAGCGGGGACCCCTTGGTGTCCCCAAGGACCGGCCCCAGGGGGACGGGCAGGGCAGCAGCAGAAAATGGAGCCGTGGCCGAGCGCCAGCCCCGGCGGGACTACAGCTCCCGGCAGCCGCTGCTCGGCGGGCCGGGACCCCGCGGGAGCCGCGGCGGGGTTCGGGGAAGGGGTCGCAGGGACCGGGGACACCGAGGGGGACATCGGGGGGGCGGCGGGACTACAGCTCCCGGCGTGCAGCGCGGCAGGACTGCAGCTCCCGGCGTGCACCGCGCCATCACACTCCCTCCCGCGGGCTCCGCAGCGCCCCCTGGCGGGCCCCTGCGGCCCGGCCTGGGCCGCGCCAGACCACGCCCACACCACACGGCCACGCCCCCTCCAGGCTCCGCCCCCCCGGAGCGCGGGACACGCAGGTGAGCGGGGAGGGGGCCCGGGACTATTTTGGGGGCTCTGTGGGGCTCTTTTGGGGTGTAGGGGGGGCTCTGTAGGGTCTTGGGTCCCTCTGTGGGCAGGGGGCCTCTGCCGGACGCCTGGGTGCCATTTCCGGGGGTGGGCGACTCTGCGGGTACGCTTTGGGGGTGGGGGCTCCGCGGGATCCCTGGGGGTCCCTTTGGGGGTGAGGGAGGGGGGTCTTCTGGGGCCTTGGGGAGCGAGGGGGTGCTCCGCCGGGGTTTGGGTCCCCTTTGGGGGGTGGAGGGTCTGCGGGATTCCTGGGTCATCTTTGGGGGTGGGGAGGCGTCTCTGAGATCCCTTGGTCTCCTTTGGAGGGGTGTGGGGGGACTCTGCGGGATCCCTGGATCCCCTTTTAGGGATGAGGGGGGCTGTGCAGGATCGCAGAATCCCCTTTGAATGGGGGGTGCCCTGCGGAACCCCTGGGTCCTCTTGGGGGGCGGGGGGGGCTCTGCGGGACCCCTGGGTGCCATTTCCGGGGGTAAGGGAGGGATCTACGGGCCCCTTTTAGGGGTGAAAGGGAACGTTGCAGGATCCCTGGGTCTCTTTGGGGGTCTTCTGGGTCCTGGCTCCCCTTTGGGAGTGCCCCACCGGGGTTTGGGTCCCCTCTGGGGGGTCGGGGGGGTCTGTGGGATCCCTGAGTCCCCTTGGGGGGCGTGAGGGGACTCTGCAGGATACCTGGATCCCCTTTTAAGGATGGGGGGACCTCAGAATCCCGTTTGGGTGGGAGGTGCCCCTGCGGGACCCCTGGGTCCTCTTTGGGGGTAGTGGGGGCTCTGCTGGGCATCGTATCCCCTTTGGGGGGGCTGCTCTACCAGACACCTGGATCCTCTTTGTGGGGGGGCTCTGCCAGGGCCTGGCTCCCCTTTGGGGGGCGGGGGGCTCCAGCATCACCCTGCATGCCCCCCAGCCCCGCACACCCATCACCCCCGGGAGCATGAGGGGTGTCCCCGGGGGGTCACAGGGCCCCCCCTGACCCCCCGACCCCCAGCACCATGCGGCTCTCGGCCCTGCTGAGCGCGGCACGGCCGCGGCTGCCCCCGGGGTACCGCCACGGGACGTGGCCCCCCGACAGCGCGGCCGCCCGGCTCCGCAACCCCCCCGGGCAGCGCCGCCGCAAGGTCTTCGTGGAGCCCATCGCCGAGGACGACTGGAAGGTGTTCTGGGGGGACACGGTGAGTCTCCCCCTACCCCCCAGGGTCCCCCTCCAGGCTGGTGGCCAGGCTGGGGGTCCCAACTGTACCCCCTCTCCCCCCACAGGTCCAGGTGCTGACCGGGAAGGACGCAGGGAAGCAGGGGAGGGTCACCCAGGTCGTGCGCCCCCGGAACTGGGTCGTGGTGGAAGGGCTGAACACGGTGAGGCTGGGGGGGGATTCAGGGGGTGCTATGGAGGCTGGGGGGGTCACGGGCTGTCGGTGACCCCAAATCCCCTCGCAGCACTACCGTTACATCAACCGCACGGCCAAGTACTCCGGGACCTACATCGCCAGCGAGGCGCCGCTGCTGCTCAACCAGATCAGCCTGGTGGACCCTGAGGACAGGTAACAGTGGGGGGGCTGAGGAGACCCCGCTGAGGCCCCCCCGTGCCATTCTGCCCCCTCCCACCGCCCGTGTGCCCGCAGGAAGCCCACAGAGGTGGAGTGGAGGTACACGGAGGAGGGCGAGCGCGTCCGCGTGTCCCTGCGCAGCGGCCGCATCCTGCCCGTGCCCCCGCAGCCACGCCGGGATGGCATCGTGCCCGAGAACTGGATCGGTGAGCGGGGCGGCAGAGGGCCTGGGGGATGTGGGGAAGGCACGGGGGGCTCAGCTCTGCTGTCCCCTCGCCCGCACAGACGGCCCCAAGGACACGTCAGTGGAGGACGCGCTGGCCAAGACGTACAAGCCATCCCTGAAGACCTTTGAGGAGGAGATCATGGATGCCATGGGCATTGTGGAGACACGGCGGGCCAAGAAATCCTACTGGTATTAACTGGGGGGGCAGACTTCCCCTCGGCTTGGGTTCTGCAATAAACACACCCCTCGATTTTCCATGTTTGTGGCACGCGGCGCTTTCGGTGCAGCCCCAACTCGCTCACACCCAGCCCTGGGCAGTAAAAATCGCGGGTTTATTGTGGTTTGTGCCCGGGGCAGGGGGGCTCTGCTCTCCCCGAGGGGCTCTCAGCCCCCTGGGTCCTCGTCCTCGCTGCTGTCCCCGTCCTCGCTGTCCTCGGCCAGCACCGCGGCCAGCGGGGTCCGCGCGGCCACGAGCACCAGGTTCCGTGGAGAGAACAGGGGGTTGAAGAGGGGCACGAGGGCACAGTGGAAACCTGGGGGAGAGCAGAGGGAGTGTCAGAGAGAGGGTCGTGAGAGAGGATCAGAGCAAGGAGAGAGAGGGTCGAGAAAGGAGAGGATGAGGGTCCAGAGGAAGGAAAGCGGGGTTGGGAGAGAGGAGACAAGGAGAGGGAGGGTTGGGAGAGAGGAAAGATCAGGAGGACTGGCAGGGAGAGGTTCAGGAGAGAGGAGAAGGAAGGTCAGGAGAGAGGAGAGAGAGGGCCAGAAGAGGAGAGAGGGACCAGAAGAGAAGAGAGGGAAGGTTGGGGAGAGGAGGAGAGCTGGCAGAGAGGAAAGAGGGAAGAGGGAGGATCAGAGAGAAGGTTGGGAGAGAGGACAGGAGTGAGAAGAGGGAGGGAAGGTTGGGAGAAAGAGGGCCAGGAGAGAGGAGGAAGAGGATCGGGAGAGGGTAGAGAGGAGAGGGAGGGCCTGGAGAGAGGGAACAGGAGAGAAGAGAAGGAGGATCAGGAGAGAGAGGATCAGGAGGGTGGAGAGGAAAAGGAGGGTTGGGAGAGAGGAAAGAGAGGGAGGGAGGGTTGAGCAGAAGGAAGGTGGAAAGAAGGTTGGGGGAGAGGATCAGAATGAGGAGAGGGAGGGTCAGCGAGGAAAGAGAGCATGGAAGAGAGAGAGGGTCAGGAGAGAGGAGGAAGAGGGTCAGGAGAGGGAAGAGAGGGGGGCCAGGAGAGAAGGGGGATCGGGAGAGAGGGTCGGGAGAGTGAAAAGGAAGGGTCAGGAAGAGGAGAAGGAGGGTTGGGAGAGAGGAAAGGGAGCAGAGGGGAGAGCTAAAAAGAAGAGAGGAAGAGAAGGTTGAAGAGAAGGAGGGGAGGGGGAGCCCCCGGCCGTGCCCACCTCGCTCCCGCAGGTACAGCAGGCGGTCGAGCAGCACGAGGGTCTCCACGACGGGCGCCAGGAGCTGCTTCAGGGTGCAGAACGCGAGCACCTTGTGCTGCTGCTCCAGCATGGCCTCCACGGCCCCCGAGTCCAGCGGGACCCCCGACGGGTCCAGCCCTGCCAGGCGCAGCCCCAGGCGGGCGTATCTGGGGGGGGGACGGTCACATGGGGGGCTGGCAGGGTCCCAGGAAGGGGTCCCCCCTCCCCAGACTCAGGAGGAGGGTCCCAGAAGGGGATCTGCCTTCCCCAAAATCACTGGGGGCCAGGAGGGGATGAAGAAGAGGGTCCCCCTCCCCAAATTCACAGGGGCCCATGAAGGGTTCCAGAAGGGGGTCCCCCCTCCCCAAACTTATGAGAAGGGTCCCAGGAAGAGGTCTTCCCCTCCCCAAAATCACTGGGGGCCAGGAAGGGTCCCAAAAAAGAAGGTCCCTCCTCCCCAGATTCACAGGGCCCCAGGAAGGGTTAAAAAAAAGGGGTGTCCCCCCTCCCCAAACTCCTGAAGAGAGTCACAGAAAGGGGTCCTCCCTCCCCAAAATCACTGGGACCTGGGAGGAGATGCAGAATGGGGTCTCCTGCTCCCCAATATCACAAGGGTCCCAGAAGAGGGTCCCTTTCCCCCAAATTCGCTGGGGGCCAGGAGGGTCCCAGAAGGGGGTCCCCCCTCCCCAAACTCACTGGTGGAAGCCGAGGGCGTGCGCGTTCCTGCCCGCCTGCAGGCCCAGGTGCCTCTTGGCAGGGTCGGCGGCCTGGATGAGGCTCTCGAGGGCGGCGCGGTAGCAGTGGGTGCACAGGCGGGCGCCGCCGCTGCGCAGCCGCCCCTCGTACTCCTCCCGCGCGTGGCACGCGGCCTCCCGCGCCCGGTACGACAGCTGGTGGCCCGGCAGCGCCGCCACCGTGGCGCTCAGGGGGTACCCCGGCGGGGGGCAGCCAGGGGCCTGCGGGGCGGTCGACACTTTCATGTAGCAGCAGCCCACGGAGGCCACGGCGGCCACGGCGGGGCTGCGGGCGAAGTGGCGCAGCAGCGCGGGGCTGAGGTCGCCGCAGGCGTGGAGCCCCGTCACCAGCACCGGCCCCCCGTCCTCGGAGCCCCCCGGCCCCCCCAGCGGGTTCTGGGCGGCGGGGTCGGGTCCCGGCGGGTCGGGGGGCAGCAGGAATTCCCCCCAGGGAGCGGCGGGGTCGAGGCGCCCGGGGACGTGGCGCGGGGCGCGGGGGGTGAGGGGCCTCGCGGGGTGGTTTGGGCGGCGCCGGGGGTGCCCCCCGTGCCCCGAGGCCCCCGTTTTCCGCAGCTCGCGCAGCAGCTCCCAGTCAAAGCACTTGGCCACCCCGGCCAGGCGGCCGTCACTCTCCACCGCCGTGACCGACAGGCCGAGGCCGAAGGACAGGAAGCGGGAGAGGTGGCCCTGGGAGGGTGGACACGTGCTCAGAGGGGGTGGGGGGATCCCCCCAGAGCCCCCCTGTGTCCCCCCACCGTGTGCTCTTGCTCTCACCTGTCCCGCTCCGACATCCACCACGCGCTGGCAGCCGGTGCTCTGGCTCAGCCGCCGCAGCAGCTGTGGGGACAGGGGGTGTTGTGGGGCTGGGGGGGAGCTGGAGGCTTGCAGGGGAGACAGGGGGGGCACCCACCTTGCCAAGGCGTTGGATCTCGTGCTGCTTTTTGAGCTTGATGTGGCGGCGCAGCAGCGGGTGCAGGCGGGGGCTCTGGTGCGGGGTCCCCCACGGGCAGCCCCGGGGGAAGGCGAGGGCCCGGGCGGCGGCGGCGAAGGCCAGCAGGGACAGGGGCCAGGCGGCCCCAGGACCACCATGGCCCCCCAGGAGCCCGGCCAGCTGCTGGGGGGTGGCACTGTCCAGGGCGGGCTGCCAGGCCGGGGGCAGCTGCGCCCACAGCCGCTCGGTGAAGAAATCCTGCGGGAGGGGGCTTAGTGCGGGGGGCACGGCTGGGGGGACATGGCCGAGGGGGGCCAGGGGAGATGCGGGGACACTCACAATGACGAAGGCGTCGATCAGGGGCCGGTAGAGGCTCAGGAGGTGGATGATGTCAGCGGCTCGACGCTGCTCGGGTGACTCCTCCAGGTTGCTCCGGTGCTCCAGTGTCTGCGCCGGGTGATCCAGCCGCTGCTCCAGTGGCTGCTCCAAGTGATCCCGCTGCTGCTTCTGCTGCTGCTCCGGGTCTGGCAGCTGCTCCGGGTGCTCCTGCTGCTGCCTTGGGTTCTCCAGCGGCTGCCCCGGGTGCTCCGGTGGCTGCAGGATGAGATGGGGAGCAGCTGCCATGGCAGCACCTGTGGGTGGCAGCGGGAGGGGGTGTCAGCCCTGGAGCTCTGATGTCACCCTTGGGGCTCTGACGTCACCCTGGGACGTGTCCCCTGGCACTCTGACATCACTGCAAGATGCGTCCCTGTGGGGCTCTGATATCACCCCAGGTCTCACCCCACCTCCCCCTGGCCGTGCCCATCAACGTCCAGCGGTCGTAATACGTCACCAGACCGTGACGTCACGCGAGGACGCAATAACCCCCTTCCGCCCCCATGACGTCACGCGGCTGTGACAGCCCCCTCCCCGACGCCATGACGTCACCCAGGGGCGCCGCTCGCCCTCGAGCACCTGCGACTTCCCCGGGCCGGCCGGGACACCGGGCCGGCCGCGACACCCCCCCCCCGGGCCAACGCCGGTGAGCTGTAACGTCTCTTTCGACGTCACCGGTGACGTAACGCAGGCGCGGGCGGTGTTACGGAGCCGCCGCCGCCGCCCGCGCGCGCCGCCCGGCGCGGGCCGAGCTCCCGGCGCGGCGCGGCCCGATGACGTCACTGCTGTAACGGGCCGGCCACGTGCCGCCCGCCAGCTTCCGGTTCCGGGCCGCGGAGGTGAGGAAAGGGGGGGCCGGGGGGCCCGCGGTCCGTGCTCGGGGTCGTCGAGGAGTCCCGGGTGCCGAGGGGTCCCCGGTATCGCTGCTTGGGGTGTCAGGAGTCCCCGGTGCCGGGGGTGCCGAGTCCCGGTGTCGAGGCGTCTCCCGGTGCCGGTGTTTGGCGGTCCAGGTGTTGGGTCTCCCGGTGCCGAGGGCTCTCCGGTGCCGGTGCTTGGGGCGTGGGGGGTCCCGGGTGTTGGGGATCCCCAGTGCCGCTGTTGGGGGTCCTGGGTATCGGGGGCTCCCCGGTGCCGCGGCTCCCCCGCCGCTGAGCCGCCTCCCCCCGCCGCAGCAGCCCCGTCCCGCTTGCCCCGTCCCGCTTCCCCGGTCCCGCCATGGGGGATTTGATCCTCAACGTGGACTTGGCCGCCCCCGAGCGCCGCCCCAAGAAGGAACGGGGCAACCGAAAGCACCAGAGCTTCGTGCGGCGGCGGCGGGAGCTGGAGCGCCGGGGGGTCCTGCGGCAGAAGCAGCTCCCCCCGAACCGGGGCGGGCCCCGGCGGACCCCGGCGAAGCCCCCCCCGTCGTGCCCTAAAGAGAACGGCTCTGCCGGGACCGGCGTTCCCTCTAACACCAAAGGGAAGGGGCGGGGGGCTGCCGGGGGCACCCCCGAATCCACCGGCGCCCCCTCGGCGCTCCAGAACGGCCGCGCAAAGACCAAGGGCAGGGGTCGGGGGGCGGTGGCCGGAGCCCCCCCGGCGCCCACCAAGCTGCTGGCCATGGACTGCGAGATGGTGGGCACGGGCCCCGGGGGCCGGACCAGCGCCCTGGCCCGGTGCAGCATCGTGTCCTACGACGGGGACGTTGTGTACGACCGGTACGTGCGGCCCGAGGCGCCCATCGTGGATTACCGGACCCGCTGGAGCGGCATCCGCCGGCAGCACATGGACAAAGCCGTGCCCTTCCACCAGGCACAGCGGCAGGTGGGCGGGGGGGCGGCCTGGGGGGCTGGGGCAGCGTGGGAATGGGGCTGGGGCAGCGTGGGAATGGGGCTGGGGTCTGCAGGTCAGGGGAGGGGACTGGAATGGGGGGTTGGGGAGGGGCTCAGGAGTGGGAGTGTGGGGCTGGAGCTGTGATGGGGGGCTCAGGAGTGGGAGTAGGGGTTGTGAGGGTGGAGGGGGGTGGAAATGGGGATGGGGGATGCAGGGCCAGGGTCTGCAGGTTGCAGGATGGGACTGGAATGGGGGGTTGGGGGCACAGAGCTGGGAGTGTTGGGAGGGGGGGAAGTGGGGCTGGGGGTGTCAGGCTGCAGAGCTGGGGGTGAGGGATGTGGGGCCAGGGCTGGGATGGGGGGCTCAGTGGGAGTGGAGGGGCTGCAGGGTGAGGGGTGTGGGGCTGGGTGGGGGGATGCAGGACTGGGCTCTGTGTCTCATGGGCTGGGGGATGCAGGGCCAGGGCTGGGGGGTCGTGGGGCTAGGGGTTGGGAATGCTGGGCCGGGGGTGTGGGGTCGGGTTCTGCAGCTCAGGGGCTGGGGCCAGGGTTGTAGGTTGTGGGGTGGGGGGCTGAGGGGTGGGGAGCTATGGGGTTGGGGGTGAGGGGCTGCCCAGCTGGAGTGGAGAGTGCAGGGTAGGGATTGTGGGCTTGGGGTGGGGGGCTGTGTAGGAGTTGGGGGTGGGGGGCTGCAGGGCCGGGCTCTGTGTCTTGTGGGCTGGGGGACGCTGGGCCAAGGGTGGGGGTCATGGGGCTGGAGGTGTGGGCTGGGCTCCTGGGCTGGGGTGGGGGGCCGAGCTCTGCAGCTCAGGGGCTGTGGGGGGTCCAGAGCTGCCCTCTGCAGCACCAGGATTGTGCCCCCACAGTGCCATTCCCACTCAGCCTGGCAGTGGGGCTGCTCTATGTCCTTGTGGGGCAGCCGCTTCCCACGGAGCACAGAGGGCACTGCCAGGGGTCTTAACCCCCCCATCCCACCCTCTCCCGTGCAGGTGCTGCGGATCCTGGCCGGGAAGGTCGTGGTGGGCCACGCCATCCACAACGACTTCAAGGCGCTCCGGTATTCCCACCCCAAAGCCCTCACCCGGGACACGGCCCGGATCCCGCTGCTGAACCGCCGGGGAGGCTTCCCAGAGAACGTGGCCGTGTCCCTGAAGCGCCTCACCAAGGCCCTGCTGAACCAGGACATCCAGGTACTGCTGCCAGAGCCCCCCGGGAGATGGGGACCCCCTGTGCCACGGCAGGGTGACAGTGGGACGGGGGGACATCCCTGGGTTCATGTTCAGGGTACCCCAAATTCAGCTGCTGCTGCCAGTCCCGTGCCTCAGTTTCCCCTTGCCTGGAAGGCAGCCTGTGGGGGGGGGGGGGACCCTCAGCTCAACCCCTGCAGCCTCAGGGGGGCTTTTTCCTGCTCTTTTTTCTTTAATCTCTATGCATCCCCCCCACAAGTTGCCTACAACCTCAAATTTGCCTGTACCTCCCCTAGCTCTCTACATCCCCCCAAATCTGCCTATACCCCCCCAAATTCCCTGTATCCCCCTAAATCTGCCTGTGCCCCTAAATCTCCCTGTACCCCCCAAATTCCCTGTATTCCCCTAGAGCTGCCTGTACTGCCCAATCTACCTGTACCCCCCCAAACTCCCTGCATCCCCCCAAATCTGCCTGTACCCCTAAATCTGCATGCAGCCCCTCAGAGCTGCCTGCACCCCTAATCTTTGTGCATCTCCCCACCCAAGTTGCTTGCACCCTGCCAGAGCTGCCTGCACCCCTAAATCCACCTGGAGCCCCCCAGAGCTCCTGCACCCCCTAATCTCCGTGCATCTCCTCACCCGAGCTGCGTGCACTGCCCCACAGCTGTCTGTATCCCCAAATCTGCCTGTACTCCTAATTCTGCCTGTAGCCCCTGATCTCCCTGCATCCCGGTTCTGTCTGTATTCCCCCAATTCTGCTTGCACACCCTTAAATCTTCCTGCACCTCCCCCAGTTGCCTACACCCCCTTATGTTTCTGCATCCCCCTACCCGAGCTGCCTGCACTCCCCTAATTCTGCCTGTAGCCCAGATTGTGCCTGCTCCCCCTGAAATGTGGAGCTGTGCCCACGCTGTGTCTGTCCCCACAGGTGGGCACCAGCGGCCACTCCTCGGTGGAGGACGCCCGAGCCACCATGGAGCTCTACAAGGTGGTGGAGGAGGAGTGGGAGCAGCACCTGCGGCAGAACCCGGAGCAGGAGTGACACCCCACCCAGGGGGGCCCAGAGTGATGCCCCCAGCCTGGTCCTGCATCCAGAGCAGGCCCAAAGTGACATCCCCAGCCAGTTCTTATGCCTTAGGGGGTCATGGAATGATGTCCCCAGCCTGTTCTGTGCCCTGGGGGAGCCTGGAGTGATGTCCCCAGCCTGTTCTGTGCCCTGGGGGAGCCTGGAGTGATGTCCCCAGCCTGTTCTGTGCCCTGGGGGAGCCTGGAGTGATGTCCCCAGCCTGTCCTGTGCCCTGGGGGAGCCTGGAGTGATGTCCCCAGCCTGTCCTGTGCCCTAGTGGGGGCCCAGAGTGACACCACGAGCCTGGTCTTGCCCCCAGAGGTCCCAGAGCCCTGGGACGAGCCGTGAGTGCTGAGGAGCTGCTCCATCCATGAATGTCACAGGGCCAGGAGTGATGTCCCTCATCCCTGAGCCCCCCAACGTGCCTTGTGACGCTGCTGTTCTGCTCTGTCCTCCCCAGAGGCATGGGGAGAGCCTGGGCTGGTGCCTTCCCAGAGGGTGGTCTTGGGTCCTGCACCCCCAGAACAGCTCGGGGACCTGTGGGGGGTCCCGATCTGGGGCAGCCCTCATCCCTGGGGGATTTGGGAACGGAGCAGGCTCCTTCCCTTCCCAAAAACTACCTCTGCCGGCGCCGGAACGAGGCGTGGGAGTGGGCGGGACTCCGATCCCACCGGGAAGTGCCCGCTGTGCTGCGGAGCCGCTCCCGTCGGTGCCACAGTGCCACCTTCCTCGTTGCGAAAGGGGCCGGGACGAGCCCGGGCACGGGGAGCAGCATCTCCCCCATCCACCTTTCGGAGCCCCCCGTGCTGCCCCGGAGACGCCCCCAGTACCGGCGGCTGCCCGTGCCCTGAACGCGCCCGACCCTGCCGGGAGGCTGCTTTGAACTGAAAGGTTTATGTGCGAGATCCCAATTAAAAAAGAAGTGATTAACGAGCTCTTTCCTTCGGCGGGGAGTGGGGAGGAGCCCCCGGCCTCGGTGGGCGGGAGCGGGGGGGTCCCTCACCGGGCTCCGGGGCGCTGCCGTCACCCGCCACCCGCCGACATCTGCGTCCCGCCGGCTCTTCCTCCGGCTCCTGCTCACGCCGGGGACGAGCTGGCCCCTTCCCCGGCTCTGGGGACCCCCCTCCCGCAGCCCCTCTTCTGGTTGAACCGCCGGCGGGTCTCCGGTGCTGTTGTACCGGAGGGGCCGCGGCAGCCCCGGGAGCGGGGCCGGGGCCGAGCCCGCAGCCGCCCTGGGGGCTCCCCCCGCCCGCGCCGGGCTGGACGCGGCCCCGAGCCCCCGACGTGCGTCACTTTTTCCAGCCTTTCCTCGTGTTTACGTGGCTCCGCTTGGCTCGGGGCGGCAGAGCCCGGGGGGGGGTGTCTTGGGGGGCAGAACGCCGCAGTGGGGAGGCCTTCCACCTTTATTTGGGGTTAAATACGCAGATTTGGGTCCCCACCCCCGCAGCGCCGGGGAGCGGACGCCCGAGCATCCCACGGGTCGGGAGTTTGCGGGGTTTTATGGGGGCTCTTCCCTCCCGCTCCCGCCTTTGCACACCCGTCCCTACGGCCCGGGTGGGGGTGGGAAAGCCGTCAGAGCCCCAAAATCCAAAGGAAGGTGGGAGCGCGGGAGGAGCAGGCGGGAACCTTTGTGTCTGGGCTGGGTTTGGCGGTGATTAGGGGCTTTACAGCGGTTATAAATGGCCGGTCGTTAAAGGGGTTTATGGCCCTGGAAATGAGAAGCAGCCGGCCGGGCCCCCAGCCCTTAGCGGGCGCTGGATGCGGCTCGGAGTCCTGGGGGCTTCGCTTGCATCCCAGCCTGGAGTCCCTCCGGATGGGGATGGGGCCAAGACGGGGGCAGGAGCAGGGTCCCAGAGCTAAGGAAGAGTCCTGGGGCTAGGGCAGGTGCTGGGGCCGAGGAAGGTTCCCGGGGCTGGGGAGGGTTTGGGGCTAGTGAAGGGTCCTGGGGCTGAGGAAGAGTCCTGGGGCTGGGGCAGGGGCTGGGATTGAGGAAGGGTCCTAGGGCTGGGGCAGGATCTGAGGCAAGGTCCTGTGCCAGGGAAGTGTCTCAGAGCTGAGGAAGGGTCCCGGGGCCAGATCCTGGGACTCAGGCAAGGTCCTGGGCCAGGGCAGGGACTGGGGTTGGCTCAGGGCCCTGGGACTGAGGAAGGGTCCTGGACAGGGATGGGGGCTGGCTCAGGGTCCTGGGACTGAGGAAGGGTCCTGGGCAGGGACTGGGGTTGGCTCAGGGTCCTGGGCCAGGGCAGGGTCCTGCTGTGGGGGCACAGGCAGAGGCCTTGGGGCACGTGGGCTCCCTCCTGCCCCACAGCCGGGGGTCCCGGCGGCCACGGGGCCGGGGCCGGACTCGGTCGCGCCGTCCAGCTGTGTTTCATTTCCGCAGCGGCCGTGGCCGTGGCCGGAGGGGGGGGAGGAGGAGGAGGAGGGGGGTGTCCCGCCAGCTGGGATGGATTTGCAGGGACTTGGGGTGGAGGCGACGGGCGACCTGCCCTCACTCAGGCTTCACCCCCCGGCCCCACACGTTGGAGCCCCCTCGTCCCCTCTCCCGACATCGTGAGAGGCTGATGGGGGGGGGCGTCAGGACGAGCCCCCGGTGGCCTTGGCTTCTGTGCAGGGTGTGGGTACACGTCACCCCTCCCGGGGTGGATCCCGGGCACCATGGAGGGGGAACATCCCCGAGCAGCCACATCCTCCCAGGAGGGGCTCTGGGGCACTGGCAGCGTTTGGGGGAGGGGGCCCACGGCGGTGCCAGGGCAGGAAGGGAGTCGTGCCCGGGCTGGGGGAGCTCCCTGTGGTTTGCGCTCGGGATTTCTGCGGTTTCTGAGGATTTTTGCCGGGAAGGGGGACGCAGGCGGCGGCCGCTGCCGGATGTTTCCAGAGGCCGAGCCAGCTGCTGCTGCCCAGGCGCTGGGACGCGGCTCCCTGCCTGCCTCCCAGAGAATCCGTGTCCTTCCCGGGGGTCACTGGCGCTCCGGGGGGGTTATTTGGGGCCAGTGGTTTGCCTGCCCACCCCAGGGCTTTGCTGGGATGGGAGGGAGGGAGAGGAGGGTGGAGTGCGAAGGCTTTATCCGCCCTTCCCGGCAGAATCCCTTCCAGATGTGGGGCTGCTGGGGCTGGCGTTCACAGCCCCACTGGGTCATGGTGCCCAGCGTGGGGTGAGGGGGATGAGGGTGTCCAGAGGGGGTTGCAGACAGATCCCACCCAGCCCCCTCCACCCACTGCTCTTGGAATGGGGCTTCTTTTTCTCCCTTCGTTCCCTAAACTTTAAGCAAACACGCAGCATCACCCCTGCCGTGACTCCGGGATGGGGGGGACGCAGCTCCTGCCCCCCTGGGGTGAAGGGGTTGGGGTGACCCTTCTCCCGCACCCCTTCCCCAGCCCCTGCAGCTCTGCCTGTCCCTGTCCCTGTCCCCTCTGGCACGGCCCCGGCGCTGCTGTAGGTGAGGTTATGTCAGCGCCTGGTGAGAAATCCTGTTCTTCGGGGGATTAGGGACGCGGCAAGCCGGGACTTGGCTCGCCGGCCCGAGCCGGAGGTTCTGGGGGCACGGGGGGGATGTGGCCCGGAGGAGAGAGGCGACGGGGGCTCTGCTGGGGCCTTTTCACCCCAATCCAGAGCAGAAACCTCTCTCCTTCCATTCCAGAGTTGCTGCTGCTGAACCAGAAACACCATTTCTTGCTTTTCTTGCCCAGAACCGGCCCCGCGGCACAACCTGCCCCTTCCCGCGGCGGTTCCCAGGGGAGAGAAACCTTGGGAAATCCCTCAGCGCTTGTTACCAGGGAGGGACCGAGGGTTCACCCGAGGGGTGAATCCCTCCCCCGGGCTCTGCCACAGCCCCCCCCAGCCCTGCACGCACACGTGTGTGCACAGACACGTGTGTGTGTGTGTGTGTGTGTGTGTGTGTGATCATGTCAAGTCACTGGCCTGTGCATGTACTCGTGTCCACACGTGTGCACGAGTGAGCACGAACACCTGCACACACGTGTGTGTGAGAACATCACCCCTGTGCAAACACACGTGTCCTGTGCACACGCGTGTGCTCCTGCTGTGTCTCCAGGGGTGTGCACCAGGCTGTGCCACTTGGGGGGTTGGAGGCAGGTTTGGGGGCACAGGGAGCTCCAGTGGGGGGTGCAGGAAGCTTTGGGGGTACAGGCAGTTCTGGGGGGATGTGGGCAGCTCGGGTGGGGGAACACACGGAGATCAGGGGGTGCAGGCAGATTTTGGCGGGTGCAGGCAGCCCGGGTGGAGGGGATGCACAGAGATTAGGGGGTGCAGGCAGCTTGGAGGGGTAGGGGCAGAGTTGGGGGGTGCAGCAGCTCCGGGGGAGGTGCAGCACATTTGGAATACAGGCAGTTCCAGGGCGGCGCACAGGGATTAGGGGGGTACAGGCAGCTCCAAAGGGGGTGCAGGCAGATTTGGGGGGGTGCAGCAACTTGGGGGGGTATAAACGGCTCGGGGGGCAATGTGGGAAGTTCGGGGGCTGAACGGGCAGATCGGGGGGATGCAGCAAGCCGGGAGGGTACAGGGAGATTAGGGGGGTACAGGCAGCCTCGGAGCGGGGGGGGAGAACAGGTAGACCAGGGGGTGCCTCTCGCCCGCATCCCCCTGGGCAGATGGGGGCGGGGGGCTCCCTCCGGGGTCTCCCCGCGCAGGTGAGCGCGGAGCCCCCGCGCCGGGGCCGGGGCCGGGGCCGGGGGGTGGGACCAGCCCGGCGATAAAACGGCGGCGCGGGCGGGACGGGACGGACGGACGGAGGGAGCGAGCGGCGGGGCCGGTGCTGTTGCCGGTGCGGAGGGAGCGGCGGGTCCCTCGAACCGCTTAGTCCCCCCTCGGTTCCCCCTCAGTCCCCTCCCTGTGCCCCCCCTCCCGGTGCCCCCCACCCCCGGCAGCCGCGATGCCCAACTTCTCTGGGAACTGGAAGATGAAGAGCTCGGAAAACTTCGAGGAACTGCTGAAGGCGCTGGGTGAGTGAGCCCGGCTCTCCCCCCCGGGTCCCCCCAGGTCGCCCCCGGGCTGTGGGGGTGCGCAAGGGAGGCGGGGGGGGCCTTTCCCCCATCTCGCCTCCGAGTCCTCCTCCGGCCCGGGGGGTCACAGGGCCCGGAGCCGGGGGACGCCCCCTCCTCCCCTTTTTCACAAAGCCCTCGGGGCTGGTGCCCCGCTGGGGAAACTGAGGCACGGGGGGGCTGGGCAGCACGTCCCGCTCCCCAGGGGTCCCACACGGCCCCCGAGGACCCCCCTCCTGCCTGCCTCACTTTCCCCACCCTGGCGGGCCCCCAAGGCACCTCCAAACTCCTTCACTCCCCTTCGGCCCCTCCACCCCCCACCCCAAAGGCACCCTCGGGGCTCACCTGCCACACGCAGCCGGGGCACGGCCGTGTCCCCAAAAACAGCCCAGGCAGGACCCCGCTGGGTTGGGGTCCCACCCTCGCAGGGCTCATCTCGGGGTCCTTTGCCCCCCCCCCGGGTGGTGTCGTGTCCCTGGGGAGCGGGGCTGGGGAGGGGGCCATGACCCATCGCAGGGGGTGGAACTGGGGGGAGCACAAGCTCACAAGCTCTGGGGGTCCCCGGGGATTTGGGCAGGATCAGATCCAGCCCCTGCACTGCTCCCCTCCGCCTGACCCGCTCCTCGCCAGCCGGGGAGCTGCCGGAGCAGAATATTTTCCAGGTTAGGGGATACGTAACGAATATTTCAGGATAATTATCACTTTCTTGGGTTTCACTCCCGTTCCCCCGTCGCCCCTTCTCCCCCCCTCCGGCCCCGCTGCTGGAACCGGCTCGGGGAAACCTCAGCAGGAAAATAAATCCGCCAACCCCCCCCCCCGCCTCCCCACCCCGAGCCCTTTTCCTTTCCCACGGCGGGATCAGGGGGCTCCTGCCCTTCACCCCCCCGGCTGGTACCCCCAGACACCCCTGGCAGAGGGTCTGGGGGGGGTAT